GATGCAGATCAGAGCGTTGCCCCGCGGCCATGCACGCTGGGCTGGCGACCGAGAAGAAATTTAGTATTTTCGGAGGCAAGGGAAATTGTACGAATCTCCTCTCCCTCTCTCTCTCTCGCTCTCTCTCTCTCTCTCTCTCTCTCTCTCTCTCTCTCTCTCTCTCTCTCTCTCTCTCTCTCTCTCTCTCTCTCTCTCTCTCTCTCTCTCTCTCTCTCTTTCTATCGCTCTCTTTCTATCTTTCTTTTTTCTCCTTTTCTTTCTCTCTTTTTCAATTTCTCTCCTTAGATTTTTCTCCTTTTTTTCGCCTTCTCTCTGTCTCTGCCTCTGTCTGTCTCTCTCTCTCTCTCTCTCTCTCTCTCTCTCTCTCTCTCTCTCTCTCTCTCTCTCTCTCTCTCTCTCTCTCTCTCTCTCTCTCTCTCCGTCTCTTCTTCTTCTTTTTCTTCTTCTTCATCTTGTCCCTATCTGTCATTCACACATATTTTGAGGGAGTGGGAGAGAAAAATAGATGCACATATATTTTCTTGTTCTATATTTCAGATGTTTTATATTTGCTGCAGGATGTATTTTCAGAGAGTGAAAATAGATACATAGAAAGATAGATAAGTAGATAGATGAATATATATATATATATATATATATATATATATATATATATATATATATATATATATATATATACGCACACACACCGACACACACACATATGTATATACATATATAAATATATATATATATATATATATATATATATATATATATATATATATATAGAGAGAGAGAGAGAGAGAGAGAGAGAGAGAGAGAGAGAGAGAGAGAGAGAGAGGGGGGGGGGGGTGAGGAGGAAGAGAGAGAGAAAAAAAAAGAGAGAGAAAGTGAGAGATTGATAGATGGATAGAGACAGATATAATGATAGATGGATAGAAGCAGATGTATTGATAGATAAACAAGAAAAATCCAAGTTGTATAGTTCAACAGATAAAGTATAATTTAACCTGTGTAAGTTCCGGGTTCAGCATCATTGAAAAAGGTGTAAACAAGGTACAAAAATTAAATTGTCGTTTTCCCAAGAGTATTCTGATAGCTGTTAATGGCAAGGTACTCTTAGTTATCACAAATAAAAGAAAAGAAAAAATTTATAACTTCTGGTAAGCATAACAATGTTGAATAAATTATACAAATAATTATTTATCTAGCTATATCCGATATTATCATTACTATCATTACTATTATTATTATTATTATCATCATTAGCATCATCACCATTGTTATTGTTATTATTATGATTATCCTTATTATTATTATCAGTAGGCGTAGTACTGTTGTGATTACTAATCATCATTATACTTTTAACATCATCATCATCGTCACCATCATTAACAATGTATATTAATACAGCTCCCATTACTCTCATAATTATAACAGGGAACACATGAGTTCTGACCCCCCCCCCCCCCCCTTGATGAACAGAAATGGCTCGACCCAACTTTTATTGGATAATGGAATTTGAAAGCCATAGTGAAATATATTTTTATCTGTTTCATTGCCGAAATTTAGGCAAAAAAAAAAAGCGGAACTACATATTGATGACCTCAGATACCCTTTTCACGTAATAAAAAAAAAAAAAAAAAAAAAAAAAAAGTAGAAGGGTTTAATTTTGTACAGGAAAGAAATATATTGGTGGCAGTGTTTTGTGTTCCAGCTTTTAACATTAATTTGCAGGAACCTACAATATGTCAGAAACAAAAAAGAAAAATGTTAATGATAACGATGATAATGATAATGATAAAATAATGATAATAATGATAGTGTCAGCAAAAATAAAACAAATCATCCAAATCATCATCATCATTACTTTGGTTATATTCATCATAATTTTCTTTTTTGTTATTATTATTTCCAATATTACTAGCATTAGCATTAACATCGTTATTATTATTATTATTATTATCATTATTATTATTATTATTATCATTATTATTATTAGTATTATCATTATTATTATTAGTATTATCATTATTAGTAGTAGTATTATCATTATTATTATTATTATTATCATTATTATTACTATTATTACTATTGGTATCATTACTGTTATTATTATTTTTATTATTATTATTATTATTATCATTATTATTATTATTATTATTACTATTATTATTGTTATTTTTATCTTTATTGTTTTTATTGTTATACTAATAATTATTGTTATTATTATTATCATTATTATTATTATTATTATTATTACTATTATCATCATCATTGTTATTATTATTGTCATTAATATTATCATCATCTTCATCATTATGTTGTTATTATTATAATTTTCATTATATTATTATCATTATTACCATTACTATCACTATTATTTTGATTCTTATCATCATCATCATTATCATAATTGTTATCATCATCATGGCTATAGATATTACTATTATTATCTTCTTTTGCACAGCTGATGTTGCTGGAGTTTTCACCTGACACCAAGCGGCTTCGCGTCGCCTTAGGTGTCAAGGACTTTCCTCAGTATCCTTGCTGTTCCTAGGATACAAGCTTGTTGAAATTTTCCAATTAGTTCATACATCTCTAACTTCTTCATCCATTCTGGCATGTCACGATGGATGGTTCCGAGGGCTCCAACCACCACTGGTATGATGTCGACTTGTTTACATTTCCATATTCTCTTGATTTCTCTCTTTAGATCTTGATATCTGTCGACTTTTTCCTTCATCTTGTTTTCCACCCTGGTGTCAAATGGACATGCTACATCAATAATTTGACATGACTGCTGTTGTTTGTCATAAAACACGAGATCTGGCCGATTATGTTCAAGCTGGTGGTCTGTTTGTACCTTAAAGTCCCACAGGATCTTGTACCTTTCTGTTTCTATCACTCCTTCCGGTTCGTGATCGTACCACTTATCAGCTCTCTTTACACCAACTCTTCCACAAAACACCCAATGAATTATCTGCGCAACCTTATCATGTCTCCAGTACTTGTACTGTTTTTGAGCTAAGGCACTGCATTCGGTGATGATATGACTGATGGTTTCGTCTCTGTCTCCGCACAATCGGCACTTTGGTGAGATATCAGCTTTATCGATGTACTTTTTGATAGCATTTGTTCTTAGGGCTTGATCTTGTGCAGCCATTATTAGTCCTTCAGTTTCTTTCTTTATGATTCCTTTCTTCAACCAATCCCACGTAAGTCTGTGTCTTCCGTCTTCAGTATCTCTGATGAATTTCCCATGGAGTTCCTTTGCTTTATATCTTTCATATTTCTCTTTCATGATGTTATCAGCATTCGGTCTTTGTTCTTTCAGGACTTGTTCTTTCACTACAGCTATCAACATTGTTTCTGTTGACTTCTCTAGGTATTTACTCAAACTTTGGACTTCGATGGCAATACAGTCTTCAACTCCTATCAATCCCCTTCCTCCTTTAGATCTTTTTACGTATAGCCTATCAACATCAGCTTGTGGATGAAGACATCGGTTTATAGTCAGCAACTTTCTGGTCTTCCTGTCCATTTTTCTCATCTCCTCCTTTGTCCACTTAACAATACCTGCGCTATATCGCACTATTATTATTATTATTATCATTATTATTATTATTACTATCGTTATTATTTTCATTATTATTATCTCATGACCATTATATTTCTTATTATTATTATTATTACAATTATTATTATTACTATCGGTATTACTATTATTATTATCACTATTATCATTATCATTATCATCATGATTACTATTATCATTATCATTATTATTATATCTTTATTATTATTTTTGTTATTATTATTATCATCGTCTCTATTCCTATTACTAATATCACTTTGTTATCATTATCATCGTTATTGTTAACATTGTTATTATTATCATTATTACTTTTGGTTATTATTATTATTATCATTATTATTATTATCATTATTATTATTATTATTATTATTATTTTTACTATCATTATTATTATTATTATCATCATTATCACTCTCACTATCACTATCACTAATACTATCACTATCGCTATCACTATCATTATCATTATTATTATTTCTTTATTATTATTATTATTGTTATCATTATCATTATCATTATCATTATTATTATTATTATTATTATCATTATTATTACTGTTATCATTATTATTATCATCATTATTGTTATCATTATTCTTTTTAATTTTTATCACCTTCGTTATTACTTTATCTTTATTATTATTATTATTTTTTTTTTTTTTTTTTTTTTTTTTTTTTAAAGATTCGCGAAGCAGAGCCTCGCCCGGGCTATGCCTATTTGGGGAGCCCGGTTTTTTTTATTATTATTGATATTCATTTTTATCATTCCTGTTTATATTAATCTCATCACAATTATTCTCATTGATATTCTTGTTTTTATAATTCTTCTTTTTTGATGCTCTTGTTATTATTATCATTATTATCAGTATTAATATTATCGTTATTATTATAATTATCATTATTATTATCTTCATAATACTACTACTTCTACTCCGATTATCATCATCAATGTTATTTTTATTATTACTATTACTATTACTATCAATATAATGATAATTATAATTATAATTATAATTATAATTATAATTATTATCATTATTATTATCATTATCATTATCATTACTACTATTGTTGTTATTGTTGTAGTTATCATCAATCATTAATAATATTATCATTATCATTATTGGTGTTATCATAATCATTATCAACGTCATTATTATTTTTGTCAATGATCTCATTATCACATTGTTGGTAACGCTAATAAACATACAACTTATCATACTATCTGTTATAGATAAGTGCCTGATACAAATAATTTAATCAGTAATGTTTCCACTAATAATAACGGGATAAAGCTAGCAATAATAATCCCAAATGACAAAAACATCCATATACCTACAACACTATATAACAAAACCTAACATTATCCAAAAGAAATACTTATGAAAACCGTAAGCCTACGACCATGAATTTTAATTATACTTACAGTATATTAATTTTGCAGACGGAGCTTTGTCAACTTAATGGAACCGGCGGGACGGACGAGAAAACAATTACTTTTCAGATGAATATAAAATGACACTTAATCGCATTTCCTTTATCAAAATCAGTCTTTCACGTGAAATGCAAATTGTGTGGCTAATCTTCTCAGGCGCAAGAGCTTATTGCAGCGTGTGACTCTATCGCATTTCTTGTTTTAATGTCCTTATTCTCCTGATTTTAGTGTCCTTATTCTCTTTATTTTAATATCCTTATTTTCCTGATTTTAGTGTCCTTATTCTCTTTATTTTAATGTCTTTATTCTTCTTGTTTTAGTGTCCTTATTCTCCTGATTTTAATGTCCTTGTTCTCCTGATTTTAATGTCCTTATTCTCCTTATATCTTGAAGATGCAACGGCAGTGGAATACAACGATTCTTTTTTTCTCTCTCTTCTACGGCAGGTCATTTTTGACAAAAGTGTACCGCTACTTTAGTTGATAAATTCCATTCTCTTTCCCTTATTTAACTCTTCAAGAGCGGACGGAATAGTGAAACAACCCTCTTCGGTGGGTTAAATTGCAGACTTTTGAGCCTTGGACGTAACATTACGCTAGCCGTCCTTCTGGAAAAGAACGTAATATTACGGAACCCGCCGTGACATTATATTAAAGACGAATAAACCCATCGAATGTCTGTGTGATGTCTATAAACCTTTATCAGAATTGAAATGCTTTGTGCTATTATATTCATTTGCAAGGGTCCTCTTTTAGCTGAAATTTCTCTGTGCATTTCACAGTTTGAATTGCAATAATATTCGCTGCCTATTAAGCCTGAACATTATACAAGTATCCAAGCTTATTAAGTCGATTGGTTCCTCTATCGCTGATATAGCTTTGACTATGATGCTAGATGAATTGGTTATCAATCAAACGTTTGGAATTGATAACTGTAACAGTATGACAATGTTCAAGCCATTATCATTATTAATATCTTTGCTCATCACAGTCATTAACATTTTGTCAGTGTCAACATCACGTTTTTGCTCAATAGCTATCTAATAATTATTAGTTAATGCAGGTACATATCATGATAATATTAATAGTTAGAGCTTCTGTAGGTAACACTTTAACTTTAATTAAAGTAAATAACGATGGTAATGATGATAATGATAATAATGATACTAGAAATAGAATGCAATTTAGTAGTACGCATAATGATGATGATAATGATGATGTTAATGTTGATGGTAATGAAAATGATGACGATTATGATAATGATAAAGATAATGGAAATGATAATGATGACGATTATGATAATGATAAAGATAATGGAAATGGTAATGATGACGATAATGATAATGATAAAGATAATGGAAATGATAATGAAAACAATACCAATTACAACAACCAAACCAATAATGATATGTAATACATCGACTTTATCGACTTTTTGTTTTCGTTTCATCCTTTTTTTCCAAAAGCATTTCGGTATTTATAAAAATCAGGTTATGCAGTTGCGTATGTGAGATTGTTGTTGTCGCTGTAATTGTTTTCGTTATCATTCTGGACGTGAAAATCGTAAAATAAATCCATAACTTCTCCAGAAATGTTTCTCTCTTTGTCTTCCCCGAGGCCTTGATAACCCCCCCCCCCCCCCGCGTTCCACCCTCGCAATGCAGCCAAACATTTCTCTTTCTTCCTACATCTGTATGTCTTGTTTACTTGTCTGTGCGTGTGTGTGTGTGTGTGTCTGTTTGTCTGTCTGTCTGTCTGTCTGTCAGTCAGTAAGTCAGTCAGTCAGTTCGTCTGTATGTACGTCTCTCTCGTTCCAAAAGCATCTAAGTAACTTATATTCTCTCCGTTCTCTCTCTCTCTCTCCATCTCTCCCTCTCCCTCTCCGTCCTTCTAAAAACATCACAGTGGTCTACATCCCCCCTTCTCTCTCTCGCTTTCCCTCCCCTCATCCCTTCCTAGCTTCCACGGGCTTCACTTCGCTTCACTTCCCTCCCTTCGCCGCCCCTGGCCCAAACCGCCGTTCTGTACCATAGCCACAAATAAACCAATTTTGCCAATTTTGTTAGTCTGTACATATCACCCCTCGCCATCACAGCGCCTTTTACAAGTTGGCTTCGGGATTAGTACATATCTGAAAGATTTTTTTTCTGTAAATATGTATGGACAATGTACAAGAATACGCAATCACGGACACATACACGCACACACGCACGCACACACGCCCGCACATATGCACGGACGCATACACACACACGCACACACACACGCACACACACACACACACACACACACACACCCATACACCCATACATACACACGGACACGCACGCACGAACGAACATACACATACACACACACATACACCTGCCCATGGTGTATAGGCTATATAAATGCATATGATATGTATAGTAATGTATATAAATTCATAATTTGTTTTCATCGAATCTTTAAACTTCTAGATTACTTTAATATTAAATTGGCATGTGTAATTTGAAACACGTTCTGAATAAATTTATTTGGGTATTTGCCATAATGCATCATCACAGCACCACGAAACCTCTGCAACACTACCCTCTGCTCATGCAACTCCAACTGAAGACAATATCCCGCGGCCGGAATCTATACTGGTCGGATACGCGAAGACGATATTGTTTCTTGGCGGTCGAAAAACACAGGAAAATCGTGTGTGTTTAGTATCTTAAGCGTAAGCCTGAAGTTATTATGAAATTGCTTTCCTCCAGAACGTAACGTTATGACTTCAGGGTATGGAGCAACATCGTAAGCACATTTATGATAACAATAATTAAATTGAAATTTGGTGATAAGAGTATCTGAAGTTCACGTACAAACATATAGATCAAATTATTATTATGTCCTGTCATACACCTGATCTGGAACCTCGGCTTATATTTGCAAGTCCATAGAACACTATTCTGTACTCTTTGACGCTGAGGAATGATTTGATTTTAGCCTCCGTGCAAAGACACAGATCCTAGCAGACGGCATTTGATTGGACTGGAGCCAAGCTACGACTGATTAGAGACACTGGATTATAAGCCATTTGATTAGGCTCCGGGAATCTCTCAATGATTTTGCGTCTAGGGTTCTTGAAGACATATCGTTCCTTTGAAGCACAAGGAAAGGGATAGGGAAGGGGGGTGTGAGTTCAAAAAAAAATATCCTCTTCCTCTCTAATGTTTCGTCATTTTGCCTGAAGGAGCACCATTCTAATCAGGGTTATATTCAGGCGTTCCTTGAGTGAAGTGCCTTTCCATACGCGAAGACGTTAATCAAAAGTTACTGATCAACGTGTTTGTCAGATACTCGAAGTACCTGGCACGCACTCTTTGCCGAAAAAATGTCGTTTTCCACGTAAGAACGGCAGAGGACTGAGGACGGAAAATCCAAGTAAAGCGTGAAAATGAAAACGAAAAGTTATTCATTAACATGCATGCACATTCACATCATTAGTTGTAGTAGCAGTAGTACTATCGTCATCATTATCAGTAGTAG